CTGGACACCGGCCATTGCAGAAAAAGAAAGAGTTGAAACTTCTGTGATCACTCAATTTATACTAAATATGACGTATATGGAATGGAATACTTCTTTTGGTCAACTGTCCTGTCTATTACCCCCCAGAGGTACAACCTTTTACTTCCTTGTGACCCCTCTCACTCCCTGGCACCCCCAGCGTGGCACACAAGAGCCAGCTTGGTCACTATAGGAATAAGTATCAGCAAGAGCCTTTCTGCATCCCAGTCCCAGGCAGTAACTGCAAACATCAGGTGTTATCACTGCCAGTAGCACACACTGTCTGCAGAAACATGCTGCTGACTTCAGAAAGTGCAGCCTTTTAGAAGAGACTAAACTGGAAAGGAAACATCACTGAACAGAATTGGTTTTTTTAGCTAAAACTAAGACAAAGGGGAAGGAGCAGTTTCCCTAACAGTTTAAAAAGGAAAGTCAAATTTGTTGTTGCATTTCACTAAAGGGCAGGGGATGAGGAAAAACACACAAACAACTCTCAGTCACCCAGAGCATTATTTTTTGCTCACCAGTAGAGCACAGATTCAATTTCTCTAGTCTCTGCTATTTCCTAACCTTTTCTCTTCCCCTCCATAGCTCTTTCCACTCCAGCATTTATTCTGGCATCTATTCTGATCACACAGGACAAAAAGTAATTATACAGCAATGTCCCTCCTCAATGAGTACAGGTACATACCATTAATGGAACGCACTCACTTAGGAAGTTCTTCCATCCTGAATAAACGCGTAACCTTGCCAAACACTACCTAGAACGCAGCTTGCTGTTTCTTTCATTTACAAAACCTTCCAAAAACACTCAAAATCAGCACCACTTTCTTAGGAAGAACCTGCCTCTGCAGAGAAACATCCACAACTGCATTCAACTTACTCTCTCACTAGAGAAGTCAGTACTATACACTTGTTGATTATAAAAATAAGCATAAAATGAAATACAATGTGGAAAACTAATGTATTACTACTAAACCTTTAAGATTATCTGAATTAGAATTTATTCAAATATGAATTTAAAGATTAATAGGAAGCAACTCAAACGGGTAATATTATTAGACATTTTAAAATGCATTTCCTATAATGATCAAAATCCCATTTCAAAAAGCCCCCCTGAATTCATCAGTTAAATTGTCCCAAACAAAAAGTAAATAAAGAGCATATCCTATTAAATAACAGCGTGTATAAGTCAAATATTTTACTGGTCACGTGGTTTAACTGAAATCATGAGTTACTATGCAAGAGTTTCCATTAAACAGCTGACGTTACTTCTGCAACAGTGACCTTCTTAAACAGTTACAATCCCCATAAGCTATGAAACCATCCACCTCAAGAGTACAGCTTATGAATACAGGAAGAAAAATCTTTTTTGGCAACTAAATGAATGTATGCAATACTGATCCAAGGTTTAAGGGTATCTGCAATGTAAGCATCTCCTGTTAATGGCAATTCAATGCAAGTAAGGGAGAAAAACAGAGAAAAAGTAAATGGAACTTGGCAGCAAACAAAACGTAACAACTAAGAGATTAACAAGAGACCAGAATTCCGCAGTTGCTGAGTGATGAGTCACTCAAGGCACCACTCAAGAGTACCCTTGAAAGGGTTAACCCAAAACTTTGTCATTGATAAGAAAGGCAAACAAGATTATCATGCACCTTAAGGTGGAAAAAAGCAAATTTATCATGTAGTAAGATATGAATGACATTGCACAGAGTTTATTAATAAATGCTTTAACAAAACTGTGGGGTTGTGCAAAGCACTGTAGTACGCTTAGGAGAAGAATCAAAAACAA